CTGGGTGGAGGGGAGCTATGGGGGGGGGGAGAGAAACAACTGTAATAATCTGAACAATAAAGATTTTTAAAAAAAGTAAAAGCAAACCTAAAAGCCTCAAGTTTCAAACATTTGCACCAGAGATTCAGGCATGCTCCCCTCCCAAGCCCCTGCACACCCACCTCTTATGGTAACAGACACGGTTGAAGCTGAACTGTAATTTGGCACACACTTCTATACTAATGTAATGTGACAATGTTATGATGTTTGCTATTTTCCATATAATCATAGCCATATTCATCATCCCCAACCTGATGTTAAATTAATTAATATAGTTACATTCTATTCTGGACCAATGGGTGAAAGCAGAAAAGGATTATTGGAGCATAATGGTTTGATGATGGGGTGTGTGTGTGTGTGTGTGTGTGTGTGTGTGTGTAAGCATGTATAGGTGAGAGGTAGACTTTATATAAGGAATGTAAACTCTCAGACCTGGCATATAGCAAGCACTCTATAAGTGATTACATCCAAAAGGAAGTTCACAAATAGCTACAATATGTGGAAAGTACAAAAACTGTTTCTCTTTTAGAAGAGGGAAAGGTAATGCTCATCTCAGAAGACCAGCGAAGTTTCCAGTTTAAGTAGAGACTGAAAATGAAAACAGAATTCTTTAAGCAGATAGAGTGAAAGGAATGGATTCCGGGTAGAAAGAGTGCATTCTCCAAGAGAAGAAGTTAGCACAGACAATGGGGAGGAGAATGGGAAAGTGTCATGTTGTTCGGAAAGCCATAGGTAAGATCACTGACAGTAACATGTCTCATGGACAAGGTTCTGCAATAGATAAAGATGAAAATGAACGCTGGGGTCAGACCATGGAGGTTCATGAACTCCAAACTGATGATTTTGGAGAGTGTTGTTGGCCACTGAGGTGTACTAGAAATCCTTATATAAAATTCATTCACCTAGTCCACTTTGATTTAGTGAGTTACTATGATCAGCACTTACATGCAACACAATATGCAAAACACTGGGCTTATGAGCCAAAAAGATAAAGAATATTGTCCCTGAACGAAGCATATAGTCATACAGGGAGATAAGACCAAACATAAATAACTATAGAGAGTGATGGCTGATGAAACAGCATTAACAAAACCCCATAGAATTCAGAGGAGGAAAATATCGTCTCTAGTCAGGAGAACCAGGAAAAGTGGGTGATATGTCAAGTAGAGAGAACAGGAAGGAAGAACTGGTATGGAGGCATGGGGTGAACTGGAGGAGGGAGGAATAAGAAGTGAAAAACTCAAACTGCAGATTACTACAATAACCAGAAAAAATAATATTGGGTACCTAAACTATGGCACTGATATGAAAGAATTGAGGAATTCAGTACACTACACTCACACTTGTGCACACACCCATACACACTCACAGCAATTGTTTTTGTCAACAAGTTGGCCATTTAGATGGCAATTTTCCAGGGAAGAAAGGCTTCTACAACGTTTTCTTTAGAAGTAGACTTTTCCATCATTTGCCTAAGTGCCTCTTTTTTTGAAAGATTCAAGTTCGTTAATTAGTATGATTTATCCAAGATTACAAGTACAAGCTAAAAAGTATTCCCATCTTCCCATTGTAAATTGTATCTCCAGGCTAACATAAATAAAATGTTCTAGTTATTCTTACCACTCTATGAATCTTATCAGAGAGATGACATTTAGGTCTATTGGAGGATATGGGGGGAGCGGATCTCTTTTGCAATGTGGTGTGCTTTTGTTCTTTCCTCTTTTGAAAAGTTTTATGTCTATTTTCCTTTTTTGTTTGTTTTCTATGCAGTTGAAGGCTGCAGTCACAGAATTTATGAATAAATACCTAAGTTGAAAATAATAATTCCATTAAGAAATGAAATGCCCTAAGTTGATTTTTTAAAGTCAATCTCTATACAGAAAAAGTTTTTTAAAATTCCAGGAATCACACTAATTCTATTTGTGCAACTTATAAAGAAACAATGAGATAGAGAGAAAAGGCTAATTTTGATCAATTTAAAAAGTGAAGAAAATGTGTCAATCTACTTTTACAGTTACTATTGTACCTTCTACAAATTATAGTTCATATGAAAATAAGATTTGCTTTTAAATATTCATTTGTACCTCCATATCCTCACTACCAAAACTCCGAAGTACAAACCAAGAAATTCACATTTCCAGAAAACCCACTAAGAGGTAATGATTTAATCAAAATGCATGTATTTTCAGAACCCTCCAAGTAATTTTCATGCTGATTCGCATAAGAGGCATATCTGGAGACACAGTTATTGGATGACATTTACCTTATTTACAAGAAAATAACAAATAGCCTTATCATTGTCATCGCCACTACTATCACCCAGAGCTGCATTCAAATAATTTTCTGTAAAAATGATTTGAAGACAGCATGATACTTAAAGTAGGATCTCGATGTTCCTTTAGGAAATGTCTAGCAAATAGATACAGAAAATTATATTCTCCCTACTTAACCAGTATATGAGAATACACAATCTGACACAACCAAATGGCAACTGTTTTATAAAACATATAAACTAGATTAAGCAAAGTTTGGCAATGAAAGTTCTTTAGCAAAATGAAAAACATTTTCATGCACAAAAGCTCTCCCAGCTAGCACATGTGATCACATATCTGTCAGGATCAAACAAGCTTAAAACTTTGCCTTAATAAAAGCATAACAAATTATTAGTCTTCTTGTTGTCCTTGAGCATAAGTTTGTTATTTTCTATGAAAGTTACTATTCTGTGTATATATATATATCCTATCTAATAAAGAGAGAATATGCTAATTGACCCTCACACCATTGCAAAGATGGCGGCGCCCACAGTCAATAAGGAAGGAATATGCTAATTGACTGCCCCACCCTCAAAGATGGCGGCACCCATAGCCACAAGATGGCGGCACCCAGTCCCCTCAGCTCCGCTGGGGCAGCAGGCGCATAGCACGCCTGCTTCCGGAGTCCCCCAGTCCTCTCAGCCCACCAGCCACCCAGGGCCAGCCCGAGGCACAGGCAAACCTCAGATGTTGGCTGCCCAGCTGGCCAGGGCCGCCTGAGGCTCAGGTAACCAGGGCCAGCCAAGGCTTGCGCTGCTGGCAGTGGCAGCAGCAGAGATGTGATGGGGCGTCGCCTCCCGTTCCTGAGGGCTCCCGGACTGTGAGAGGAGGCAGGCTTGGCTGAGGGACCCCTGCCCTTCCTCCAGTGCATGGATTTTCATGCACTGGGCCTCTAGTATATATATCTTTATTAAAATCATCTATAAGTTATTTGCTTTGCTTTATGTACACATAAGTACTAAATCTTATGTAAGGTTATTCATATAACCCCAAATGAGGTGGTTTGTGTGATTTGATTGTAGAAATACACGTTTGCAAATGTGTGAAAGTTTACTTGAAATTCTATGAAAGATGTCACCAGTAAAATGGAGACTAAATATTTCTCCATCTATGGTGGTGTGATCTCTTCCAGGTACTATTTTACTTTTCATTAATTGCTTGTTATACCTGCATTCAATATTTTGGATAGGAAACTTGAAGAGAGATGGTGAATTGTACACTATTGCTAGGCAACAACTTAGTTCAATGAAATATCATAGTTTGACCCCATTTTCAACATTGTGATACATATATCTATAGACATGAAGAGAGTCTCTAATAGAAAAAGGTCAAAATGAACACAGTCTTTCTTTAAATCCATTCTCAAGCCCAGCCTTCTCATGGAAGCCCAGACCTTCAATCATCGCCATCGCCTATCCCAGTGGTCGGCAAACTGCGGCTCGTGAGCCACATGTGGCTCTTTTGCCCCTTGAGTGTGGCTCTTCCACAAAATACTGACTTCTGCGCATGGGCCACGAAGTTTCAATCGCACTGTATGTGGGCGCCCACATGTGGTATTTTGTGGAAGAGCCACACTCAAGGGGCAAAAGAGCCACATGTGGCTCACGAGCTGCAGTTTGCCGAGCCGCAGTTTGCCGACCCCATCATCCTAGACTAGCTTTCCTTAAATGTGGTAGCATTTACAAACATAAATCAGGTGCCTTATTTTACAACCAGGAAGCTTTGTCACAAATATTTTCTCAATACAGAAATGTAATGTTTTGTGGGAAATGTTTTTATCATTTTGATGAAATGCTATAAAGCATGATCTATTTTAACGTTTAGAGACAAAACATCATTCTTCGTACCAGTTAATTCAATCTCAAAATCCTCACTGCAATCACACAGCTTAGACACTACCAGATATTCCACGATACAAGGTGAACACTGTTTCTTTGTCATGCTTATATTGTGAGACGAAAGGGGGAAAACCCACAAGTGGCTAAAATATAAGGGAGAGTACTTCAAGGACAAAGTTTAAACATGTTTTTAAAGTAAAAGGTAGATATTGGCTTGAATACAATAGAGAGTGGAATAAACATAATGAGAACTGTCACCATTCGCTTAAATTACAGAACTCAAGATGTAACCCTACAAAATTAAACATTACTTGATATAAAGCAATTATGAAGTCTCTTTCAAAAAAACCAGGGTGAACTGTCACACATAGGACATAAAAACATTATTTTCAACACGGTGACCATTAGCAATTCAAAACAATGGACAAGAGTGGAAAAACCAAAGAATCACTATCAGGTAGCTTACAGCATCCTTGATTAATACTTTAGTATTTAAGAGGGTCTTTTCTGTAGAAACAACTGCTTCACCTGCTTAGGACTGTGTACCTTACAGACACTATGAAGAGTCCCCATTTGAGAGGCTGGACATCAAACTATAACAAAAATGAGTATCAGTCCACGTGCGCACAGGTACTTACGGTCATTGCAGAGCGGGCCACTGAAGGAAGTCATGCTGCAGTCACAGCTGAAGCCATCCCACTGCTGCAGGCACACGCCTTGATTGGAACATGAGTCCTCTTGGCAGGTTGTGCTGGGCCCTGTTAACACAATCCAAAAGAAACTTGGTTTCCTATTTTAAAATCTCAAAGTGCTTTATACACGAGCTAGGTCACATATAGTAGTTGCCAACACCTCAAAGTATATGACCAAACCAGTTTTGAAAGTTCTAGTTCACACACCTGAATTAGAAACAGAGAAGCTGTAATATGAATGTTTTCTGAAGTTTCAAGTGCAGGACAAAATACATTATAATAGTAAATGAAAGCAACAAATAGAAAAAGCAAGCACAAAGCTTCCAGTGTGATTAGGCATCATCCATAATTCTCTACCACCATTTGAATTTCAGAAAAGTGCATGGATCTCCTTAACTTCTCACAATGAATAGAGACACCATGAAAAATAGAGATTATAACTTCATGAAATTGAGATAACTGAAGAGAGGTATGCAAAAATGTCCTAGGTCTTCTAGAAGTTTCCCTGCACAAACTATGGATAAAGTTATGATTGTTGGGTGTTTCCGATAGGTATGTTGGCAAGTATCAATTCGCATGCTTTGACAATTTCATGCAATTAAACATAAAATGAATAACTCTGTATAAATGACATGCCCCATTTTAACATACAAGTAAAAAGAATGCTATTCTATTTCTAAAGAATCAGAACTAGAACACTGAAAAACAAAGAACTAAACGAAGGATGATAAAAGCACTAAAGGTAACCACTATACAAACATAGTCAAGACTGAAAGCCTTTATGCAAACTATGCTACAGAATGAGGTTTCTTGCACAATGTGCAAAAAAAGGAGAAAAATTAAATCTGAACCCAAACAACAGTTACTGCAAAAATGTTAAAAAAAATGTTATTTGGTGGTTTCCACTCGGTATTATGGGGTTTCAGTCTTGTTTTGTACACACAGGGCTATCTACCTTGCAAGTCAGCTTTCATCAATGCAACTTTGTCAGCAAAATAAAAAAAAAAGCAAAATATATTAAATGTTAGTAAGCAATACTGAAATGAGGCAAACACAGGAGAACGTTCAGATTCAGAAAGCATGCTGCTGTAAAGGGGGAGAGAAATGCTATGTAAAGCAAATAAATTCATACGAACAGCCATAAATCTTAAGCCAAAAATAAGAAAGCGGTAATTTATTAGAATTTTACTATATATGTGTGTGTGTGTGTGTGTGTGTGTGTGTGTGTACATATATAAAAAGATTAATTGAGCTGATGACATGAAATGAAGGAAAGTTAAAAGGGCTTCTGTCGCTTTTCCTCTCTTGGACAGATATAAGCACATTACCGAAGTGACTGACTGCATTGTAGAACCTCAATACTAAGAACTAACTTAGGGAAGATTGAAAATGGAATACTAGCTAACTAAATAACTATAGAATAAAAATGTAAAGTATTCCGTAGTAAACACAATTATATAGTTTTTATGAAAATGTCAAAATAGATACCAGTAATTGGGGTAACTGCTTTAGTGAGTGAGAATTACCTAAAATTAGCCTTTATATAAGTTAATGTTTTTGTAAAATGTCCATTTTAACATGGTACTTACAATCAGATTTCTATTATGGTTTTCTTAAAGGTATTCTTCATAGAAAGTTATTAAATTTAGCATAACCCACGTGAATTCTCACAACCATAATATTCTAAATACTAACTATATAATAACAATAATTTTGGCATAGTAGTAATAATAGTTACTATTAGTAACAGTTGTTACTAATAATTATAATAATCTCACAGGTCTGAGAGACTGAATAGATGCAATAGTTTTTCTCACCCATTGCATCAAATAACCAAGAACCACTGAATTATTTAGTTTTTGTTGTTCTTCTAATCTGTGAGAGGTAAGTGATCTGGTGATCTTTATCTCACGGTAGTAGAGACTGAAAATAGTGTTTGCTAAAAAAAAAAAAAATGAACAAACTCTTAAAGCAATAGTCCTTAGCACATTCCTTCTTGGGTTAAGCATCGGGTCAAGGAGTGGTGCAAGCCCAGTGGCTGTTTGATCAAGGGATAGGTGCTCCCTTGCAGAAAAGAGCAGGAGCAAACACTGATGAAGGGCCAGATTTTCATTTTTGCAAAAATGATCAGAAATACAATTACAAAATGATGCTGAACTCTAAAACTGGTAAAATTGCAACCCTAAAGAGTAATCTCCTCATATTGTGAAGCAGCAACTCAGGGTACCTGCCAAAATTTATGTAGGCATACAGACATGCTTTTATTACTTTTTTTTTCATTATCACAACAGTCTTTTTATATTCCGGTATTACAAGAGAATGCATGCCTATGCCTGACAAGATACATTTTTCAAAATACTCACTTTCTAGAACAATGTTTAAACATTGGCAGGCATCTGGCCTGCAATTTATTTTTCCCTTTAGTTATATCACGTCCCTTTATTTTTATCACACACAAAAAATTAGAAACAAGCCACAAGGACATTTGTATTAAGTGGTTAAAAGACAATAACATGTCTGAAAAGGAAAGAAAAGTGAAGGTAAAACTACAATCTCTGAAACCAAAGAGACAATAGCTAAAAGTGGTTAGATGTCTGAGCTTTACGTAAGGTAAACTTGGGTTCAAAGCTTCCATCATCCACTTACTAGCCCTGTGACCTCAGAAAGGTCACCTCCCATCATTGAGGCTTGACCTACTTATCTAAAAATGTCTGTAATACCTAGTTTATATAGTTTTGAGGAGTAAATAAAATAGCATATGTGAACTTAATGTCACCAGTGCTCAATGGTAGCTTTAATAATTATTTCTGTCACTTAAAAATGCATTTTGGGGCTGAGTGTTAGGAGTCTATGCAAAGAGTATCTAAGTTAAAAAAAATCACTGACTTCACATATGAAAGTTAACTGGACGCAATACTGAGCTGGACTGAGCCTGGTTACCAGTTCACCTCGCCTTTTATGTAAGCAGGGCAATGCCATCTCAAGCAGTAGAATTCAAAGTGTGGTTCTCAGACCAATAGCATCAGCTTCATTTAGGACCTTGTTATCAATGTAAATTCTTGGGCCCCATCCTGGACCGACTGAGTCAGAATCCCTGGGGGTGTGTCCAGTAATTGGGTCTTAACAATTTTACGGGCATTTCTAACACTGGCTAAAGTTGGAGAAAGATTCATCCTCAAGGAATGTGCAAGCTCCCTCCCCTAGCTAATATTCGGTATAAACAGCATGAGGTCTTACCAACTAAGATTAGTTAGAAATGAAAAGCAGCAAGTGAATATTTAGGGAAGTCCAAAAACTTCTTACATAAAAGGGGCTTAGAGATTTTTAGGTCCTTTTGGGTAGGAATGATAGAAAATACTGAAAAGATATTTAGTTATGTGAAATTTGTACTATTTCTATTAATATGAAAGTTAAGTGAGCCCAATGTGACTTGGACTCAAAATTCTTGAAACAATAATATCTAGAGAGAGAATTTAAGGAGTACTTAGAATATGACCACAAATACTAAAAGCATGTAATTATTCCTATGACAGGTACATCTGAGATTCCTAGAAAACATATAGGATAGAAATAATCATAAATTAAAAGTTGTTAATATTGATGTTGGAATTAAAAAATGAGGAAAGTGTCAAGGCAGAAAGGGTAAGGTAACATTCAAAGAAAAAAAAAAGAAAAATGAGGTAAAAGAGGGTGATAATTATTAAACCTCAGATATTAAAGCATCCTACATAAGGTAGGAAGGAATCATTGTTATCATCTACTGAATGAAGTTTATGGCTTTCCAAGAGGATATAAAATCCAGTCACCTTAACCAACTTGCTCACTAGACTATGTTGGAAAATAACATGAAATATCATTTCTGCTAATATTCTTTCTCAATACATCTTCCTCTCATATCATGTGCCAGTGGTGGGGGATCATGTGTGTTTGTGGTTTTCTATCTGGTATGTGTTTAGTTGTGAATGTATCTGTCTGTCTTCTCTCACCATTTTTTTATGGATGAGATGTCACTTATCAAGCTATTGGTAGAAAGGCCTATTTTTGAAAAATATTTTCAGGATAGTTTGTAGTACTTTTTTAAAAAAAATATATTTTATTGATTTTTTACAGAGAGGAAGGGAGATGGATAGAGAGTTAGAAACATCGATGAGAGAGAAGCATCGATCAGCTGCCTCCTGCACACCCCCTACTGGGGATGTGCCCGCAACCAAGGTACATGCCCTTGACCGGAATCGAACCTGGGACCCTTTAGTCCCCAGGCCGACATTCTATCCAGTAAGCCAAACTGGCTAGGGCAGTACTTTTTTTTTAATATACTTATTCTCACGAATTAGACCACGTTCAAGAATTCAAGTTGTATCTCACATTCTTATCTATCCACTAGAAGGGAATAATTCACTTAACAACTTTATTTGCTTTGCTAAACTGGTAAAGGATAAAACACAAGTTTTCCTTTGTTTTACAGAAATTGTTACTCCAAAATTTGAAAGAAAATATACGTGGTGATAACATTAAAAATCAATTTGACAGAGACGTTCATTAAATAGCCTTACCCTTTGGCAGGGTTAAAATACAGTTTGAATTTCATCTGACTTTTCAGGGAAATATATGTTGCAGAGAGAAAAAATATATTTTCAAATAAAAAAAAAATTCCACATGCTTAGGTAATTGCTAAGTCTAATGGCATTATTTGGGCTGAGAGAAAATGATTCATAATCTCCCAGGGGACAGGAATTCACATTTCTTTCTTTGCTTCTCCCATGGAAAATTTCCTTATGAATTTAAAGTTTTCAAAATGGTCCAAACTGTGTTCAACATTAAAGGAGAAGCAGCAACACATTCAGAACCACAAAATTCAAGATAATGTGATTAAATTACATTTATGGAGGGAGAATTGGCTCAAATAATCTGAGGTGTTGAAGTGAAAATTATCTAAAATGGAAGTAGCAATCAAAAAGTACTCCTACAGATCTTAGTCTGATAGAAAGCACAAAAGAACAGGAAGATTCTTAAACACATTTCTGAAGTAGGGAATACTAGTCTTGAGTAGTAGGAGAAACCAATTTTTGCTAAAACAAACTGATAATATATATATACTCATGCTGCTGGCTAGATACAAATCAAAAAGTAATTTGAGAATGGTATCTAAACTTTATTCTCTTGTTATATCCTATTGAATGTATATTTCAAACAACAGGCTCAAACTGATTAACACTTGCTGGAATAAATATATTTTTCCACTCTAAATGGGATGTCTATTTAATGTTATAAAGCAAGCATTGCAGAACCAATTAACACACAAACTATGTAAACTATAGAATGCAAAGAAGCAGAATATAACAAGAACCATGGATATAGCTCCTGTTTGACATCAGGCATAGTGTAGGCCTGCAAACAGTCCAGAAAAATTAAGATTTATGGGTTGAAAGGTTAAAAACATGGATAAGGATTTCTAAGCCCTCAGTGGCGGGTTGACCAGTTGGCAGAAATGAATTTTGCTGGCTAGAGAGATCTGTTCTCATTTACAGGTAGAATTGGAATTATTAGAGTGTGATATAACAAAATCTAGTACCTTCGCATCCTCTCTCGATCTGTCCATTGCAGAAAAGGGCATCTGAGATGAGGTCTGGAAGCCGTCCATTTAGATCGACTGATGCCAGGCAGCCTTGAAAGCCCTCCTTGGCATGGACAAGTTTCGGCAAGGACTTGTATGTTTCTTTCGCCACTCCTCCTATATACAAGTCACCTGTGGAAAGATCAAAGTTTTGGTCACAAAAGGAACTTGTCCTTGACTTTAAACATACAATAGGACAGGAAAAAAATATATAGTGAGATTTACTTTTCATTAAATTAATAAAAACAAGCTAATTTTAAAACTAGTCATTTTCCTAAAAGCACAAACCAATAGAATGCACCGAGTGCCATACAGTTTGGCCAAGTGGGAGGAACATGGGCCAAGTGGTTACATGTTCCTACATTGAAATCTGAGCCCCATTATTTCCAACTCTGTAACTTTAACAATTTGTTTTGTTGGTTTTTTTTTGCTTGTTTGTTTTTTTGATCATTACTAGTCTCGTTTCTGAAATAGAAATAAAACCTAGGGTTATGTGAGGATTAACTGAGAGAAAATATAAGAAGTATCCATCATAGTGAAAATATGTAATAGACAGTCAATAGGTGTTATTATCAAACCTACTTTCTGCTTAGAGAAGTCTGGGTTTTCAGTTAATCAGAAGTTCAACAAATTTTCTCTAGGGTCCAAAATTACTTTTTCTACTATGCTTAAGCCCATTATCCTTGCCAGTATCTATTTTATTCACTAACTCACTCCCACAATAGTCTGGATATATACCTGAATTTTTTTGTCCTTTTTCAGGTTTATTATTATTATTATGATTATTATCATCATCATCATCTACAGTTATACCACTTTGAATTATTTATGCTACACTGGGATCTGTTAACAAGCTGTCAATTTCCCCCCCAAATTTTATTGCAGTTTCTAATGCAGCACTTTGCTCTACTTTGTCATCTTCATGTGTCTAGGTTTATGGGCCACTACTTTAAAAAATAAACTGCAATTTATGTTTGATTCTGTTTCCTTTCCTATCACAGATTATTCACCATATCTAAATGGCATTGAGTAGATGTAATTAATGGACTTTGGTTCATTAAACACTTAATCAATGCAGAACGTAAGGCGGGTGACCCCCAAATACCATAATACATTGCCCCTGTCTACAAGTCCTGATGAACATACTCTCTTTAGCTACTTTTGACTTTTGTCATTTGAATTTTCTCTCACATTAGCCATTCTAACTTTCATGCCACTTGATACCTTTTCCCCATTTTAACACTAATCCCTTGCACTACTCATGCTTACTGGGACCCCCCTGTGTTGTCTTCATGGGACTTGGGAACAAGGAGAACCGATACACATGCTGTTTGTTTAGTCATGAGTAATAACGTCCTAGGCCTCTGACCCAGAAACGTTATGTATTCTGCCAGCATCTGTGAAACAGTAATAAGCTAACCGATTAGCTTGTAGGTAGGGTAAAAATCAATCCACAGATATAACACTCTTGAATTACACTGATGAGTACGTTGAGCTTGCTGAAAGTCATTTAGCCATAAAAACTGAGAACTTCGGTCCTTGACCTACTAACTAAGGCTCTAAGTATTACACTGGAATATCATTAATCCTGCATAATTTACACTGAAGGTACTGGATGTTTTGACTTCCTCCACCTCTTAAAGAACATAAACATCTATTGACTATTAACTACTAATATTAAAAGGTGGCGTGTTCTTGGTCTGAGTTGGAATACTATTTTTGAAATAATTTGTTTTTTTTCTACACATTTCCTTTTTCTCCTTAGACTTTCCTCTCTTACATTTCAAGCCATTGTGTTTTATATGCCTCAGAGAAGAGAAATGAATCATAAACTAAAGTTACAAATTATCTTTCTATATGTGAGTCTTAAAAGCCAAGACTTTTAGAGGATTAAAGTAGAATATACAGGCAATTACATATGAAGAGCAAAGCTTTCCTGCCTCTCCTGTGAGCAAGCAGGAGAGAAAGTTGGAGAAGACATGTGAGCTCAGTCATTGGTGAATGACAAAAAGAAGACATTGTGCTCTGACTTGAGGGGGAGCCGTGGGGGATGCTAAAACCTCAGGTAGGCTTAAGGGGGTGATATTGATCTGTGTGCATTTCCCCAAGAGAACTCAGAAGCGCCAGTGAGAACCTTGAGAAGAAATGGCTGCATGGTAAATTTGGACATGCTGAGAGTTTAGGCAGACTCACAGAACTTCCCATAGTCTGCTGTGGTGGAGGAGCAACAGAACAATTCCCTGAGTGGCACAAAAAAATAAGCAGAAAATGACTGACCTGAAGGGGTTATGCATACAAGAATGAAGGTGCTGGGTAGCAATTCATTGAGCATCTGAGCTATGAATACAGAATATCCAAGAGCAGCTCCTATGCAATTTCTCTCTACATCCCCCAAATTGGTACCCTGGGAAATCCCTCACCCCACTTAATTTAGACACAATCCCAGGGAAATAAGAAAACTAAAATTGCCTGAGATGATATTTTCACTAACTCAACAAATCAGAGCTCAATGTAGAAACCAAGGTGAGTTATAGAAGAATAGATATAGATTTCTTGCACATCTGAGATTGTGGGCTGAGAGTCATACTGTTACATGCCAAATGTCAAGGCAGGAAAATGCTCCCTACACTAGTTTATTAAACTAAAATTGTTAGGAAATTCCAGCTCTCCTCTAGAACTAATAAATGTAGTATTAGGAACAGTGGGTGTTAAATAAAGAAGTCTTGGCACTGCTTCAGATAGAGAACTCAGTACTGAAAGTTAGGTAGGGAACACTATATTTGATAAACAATCTTGTCCTTTGTGATGATAACCTCCTGGAGGAGAGAGACTGTGTCTTTGTTTTACATTCTCCCACAGTGCCTAGTACCAGGCTATATAGCACAGTGGGCACTCAATAAATATTGAGGTCACAGTAGAAAAGAAGAAAGAAGAATGGTAAGGCAACACATGGGGAGAGCACTAATTCTAAAATGCATTGACTTCCTTTCCCCACTTCCTGCCACAATCCTATTTTTTTTCTATTAGCAAACTTATTTGTTGAACAACTTTTTAAAGTGTATTAAAGAAAAGTAGTAAGCTTTCCCTTGTGCTATTAAAGAGCAGAAACGATCGATTCAAGCTGTGCAGGATACAAGCCTCAAACACACCAAGGTAGATGGGTCTGGCGTTGTAAGTAGGGGCATCATTTTCATTACTGAAGCTGCACTTAGTACCACCACTTAACATGGTCCTTATAAACTCTTCATACAACAGACAGTGGTCTAAGGTCCCCTGTTGGGTTGCCATATGAAGAGAACAAAGAAAACCCTTAAGTGGCCTGAGACCTGTGCAGCATTAGCACTTCATCAAAGATGCAGCTTCTCCTTTTGATCCTTGGGGTGCTAGCAAGAAAATGACCCATTAGCACTAATGGGATCTCCCAGGCAACATCCTGAGCATGGGAAGGAGGGTATGCCTTTTAATGACCCTTGTGTGAAGGAGAGCCAGGATGGACATCCTCTAAGAGCCAGTTTCCTCTAGACTCAAAACCATCGTGTTGCCCCTTCTTCAAGCTATGAGTGCTTTTTATTCAGACCCTTTAAGCAGACCATGTATGCAATTGACAAGGCAACAACGGAATTGGGATATTTTTCACAGAAGATGCAGAGAACATGTACAAACAAAGCCACATAATCTCAAAACATCTGTTGTTGTTTTTAATCTCAAAAATACTCTTATCTTTAGTACAAGTGCATATATATGTATGTGAATATCACAGGTATCCATTCCCTAGGAGTTGGGCAGTAGTGAGTAGTAGGGAATAGTGCACAAGCTTTTAAGTTATATATGGCTACAAATCCTGGCTCTGCCACTTATTGGTTGTCTCAGTGTAGGCACTTTGTTACATAACTTCTTTAAGAGTCAGATTCTTCACCAGTGGAATGGGTTAACAATGCCCTCCTGTGAGGATTAGAAAGAATGTGTGTGAGCACTGGGGTGGAGTACACACTCAGTCCATCACTGCTACTGGTGTGGTTATGTGGACATGTCTGGTAAGGACTATGCATCTATAGTGTATCTCATTCTATGTTGATTGCACTGAGAGAGACAGAAGAGCGAGTCCAGGTAGTGCCCTTGTTTCTTGTGTAATGGAGTATCAAGGTGTCAAGCGTACACGTTTTATTTTACTTGATTCAGTTTTCAGTCATTTGTATCCTAGAACTGTGTCTTACACTATACTATGGGCAGCTCAAGAGGCTCTGCTGACATACTCAGAACCTCTTAAGCTGCCCCATATTACCAGCATTGAACCTGGTAACATAAACAGGACAGTTGCTTGATAAATATCTCCTAATTTGATAAAAACAGATTAAGGGACACAAAAATGCAAGGGTCAGGTTGTAAGGTTCATGCTGAATGGGCCTATGGACTTGGATGGTGAGGTGGAGCTTTCTGGAGAGTTTAGACCAGAAGGAAATATGGGACACATGATGTTGTAATGACATATATATAGGTTGCAGGCATGGAAACCAGCACAGGTTTACCATGGAGATAAAATGAATACAGCATTCAAAAAAGAGCATAAAAGGCCAGATGTGGCAAGAAGAGAGAATTTTTCAAAGGGGCACTGGTAAATAGTGTTGGATAAGTCAACTCAAAAGAAGGGCAATTGTACCACAATAGAATATATGACTACTGGTTTAAAAATGAAAGCTGAACAACAACAAAAGGTAAGTCCCCAAATAGAAGCCATGCAGGCTAGGAAACAAGGGAACATGAAGTAGTAATAATTTGGAAAGAAGAGATGAAATTGTAATTTAACATTACCCACCTGGAATTTGAGTAGGAATGCCCTATTGGCACGAGATGATGTAAACTGGGAGCTTAGGGAAAAGATGGTGGGGCTGTGAGGCATGGCTTGGGAGCCCTCAACCAAAAGCAGATGAAGTGGTATAAGAGGTTTTCTCTTCTCTTAAAACAGGGGGCATAGGCAATTAGAGCGAGGGCTCCGAGGTCTGCCTTGGCAGCAGCAGGATGCAAGTATCAGGGTATAATTAGTTCTTTGACTCAGCTTTCCTGTTTATTCACATGGATTTTTGGTGCCTCTTAAACATCTCGCTTTCATTCTAATTTAAAAAAACAGCATATTT